GTGTTCCGAAGAAATACTATGGCAAATTTGTTCCTCCCTAAAATGGAAGAATTTTCTCCTCTGGTAGCCCGACGAGCAGCCCTGGAAGTTGATATCCTTGCGATAGAACAGTTCAAAGAGGACCGGTACCACGCACTCTCGGTCCCTATGCAAGGCTGATCAAAGTGGTCACCCACCCGCTTACTGGCAGCAGTCAGTGCTGCTTGATCACGGTGTTCTACTGGGAACCGTGTCCTTGCGAACAGTCCACCTCGAGACTTATCAAGAAAGCGTGACTTTGTGAACTGCTATCATCTGTGGCATCGCAGGCAGGATTGCAAAGAAATTAGATCCTGCGTGAACTGTGTTATTTGAAAAATTCGGATCAAGATGAGCTTCAGTGCTTTGAGAAGAACGTGTCCCTGCAACCAACGAGCCTTGTACCGAATCTAAAGAAGAACGGTATATTCTGCAGACTGTTGAACCTAGTCATCCATCTGACTCAGCATCGTCCTTTGATTCTAAGAATGCTCCAGGCTATTTACCAGTCTGGTTTAAAACACTTTTATTTCCAATTTTGATGACTTTTTGTACATTTATTACTTATTGTAACATTTTATTGTATTGTACATTTTATTTATTGTAGCATTGTAGTTGTAGCATTTTATGACTTATTGTAAAATTTTATTTGTTCGAGAGTAAAGCTTTTTAATAAGAAGATCGTTAGATAGTTGTTGTTGTAGTAGTTCATTTACGTCACACTAGAGCTGCACAATGGGCTATTGGTGATGGTCTGGGGAGCATCCCTGAGGATGATCCGAAGACATGCCATCACAATTTTGATCCTCTGCAGAGGGGACAAAGATCGTTGATTAATAAAAAGTTAGTTTTAATAAGAAGATAGTGGTCGTCTCACAGCTGTCGACCTGCTCCTCAACCAATCATCTTTCTGCGATGGGTACTGCAGCTCTGTGGCTTTGCATTTTGTGCTTGGTCACGGACACCCTCTGCCCATCCACTCATCTTGTGGTGCGCGATTCAGGGTCTTAGTTCATCAGTTGCCCCCTCCTCAACGCATCACATACTTACGAATGGTTCAAGTAGTATCACCCACCAAACGCTCTGTAGTATGGGGGGGAACGGGTTCGAATCCCCACAGTGACCATGAATGAACCGGGGTTCGATCCTCGACTCCACTAACACCCAACAAGTGCATGCAATATGCGTGCTCATAAAATCTTTGAAATCGAAAGTTCTGTGGTCGATCGCTAAGCAGTGACATGGGTAAAGGGATCTGAAGAAAATTTCCTTCCCCTTCAGATCTAATGTGATAGTATGTCTTCATCCTCATGGATTTTTCTCAGACCGTCTCCAATAACCCATTGTGCAGCTTCAGTGCGATGTATATAAGTATTACCTATCTACTTGACAAAGACTTTTGAATCATACTTATGTTATCGATCACACTTGTCTGCAAGTATGCATACCTATAGCAAATACTAGCCAATATATCGCAAGGTCAGAGGCACGTAATGAAATTCAAATGAATCACAATTGAGAAAGAAGGGAATCGAAACCAGTTTGATTATCAGGTGAGAGTTAAAGATGTTTTCAATGGTCATTTTTTCTCTCTCTTTTTGAATATACATTTGAGACTCCGACTTTGCATATATTTTTACTTGAAAATGGCAGTGAATTCAAAATATCCTGCATAATTTTTAAAAATGTAAGTATTTGTTGGTTAAACTAAAACAATTAAGTATTTTTCCATTTTGCCGGCGTAGACGATGTAGTTGCCAATGCAAAACCAAAGCATCCAAAGTCACCGGCAAGCAAACTCAATTTTTTCTCTTTGGGAGGGGAATGTCTATAAAATAAATAAATGAAAAATAATTATTAAATAAGTAAATAAATAAAATAACTGAATTTACTAGCGCAGGCGAAATGAAAAAGTACCAACAATTACATAACAGCTAGAACGGAAACGTTTAAATTGCTTGGCAAGTACAAATTATAAAAAATTTTATTTATATAATTTAAAAATTGATTTTTGCGATATATTCCAAGAAAATTGGATTTATAGTGGATATATAATATTTTACATACTTTGATACGTTGACAGAGAAATGCGTTATGGTATCACAAAAGCCTAATGTTCAAAAAATTTTCTTGGCAAATACATATTAGAATATTTATCTAGAAACATTCTTCTATGCATAATGTTATGTGCTGCTAAAATGAGATAGAACATTGCTGAACTAATCACGTCTACGAATATAATAATGGTAGTGTTTTGAAATTACGATCTGTAATTAAAAACAGGAAACTGAAAAGAATGGTGGCGACATCTGGAAGTTGATAGTGGAAATTTAACTACAAAATATACCTTGGTTAAAAATTTAATACTTTTCGTTAAATGTATTCCAGATTTCACGAATAATAAAGAAAAAGAATGTTTTCATACTTATAAAGGTTTGTTTTACCTCAGTTATAAATAGTAGTTTAAAATTTCCTTTCGTAATAGGTTTTATTTAACACATATTTTCTATTTCTTATGTAAAGTTATGAATGCAAAAACCTATATAGTGGCGACATCTAGAAACTTAAAATCGAACTTGAAATGCAAAAAACTACACCTGCTGTTACATAGAATCATAAAAACTAAAGAAAATGTTATAAACTTCATGAACATTTTGTATTATTTTCAAAATTTGAATAATTTAGGAGAATAAATTATAGTATTTTTAAATTATCGTTTAATTTCATTACCTTTAATAAATCTGGTGGCAACACTAGACTTTAAATATTATTGAAAAATACAAAGAGGATAACCATGGAGATGTCTCCATAAAACTTAGGCTGTTTTAACATAGGAACGTTTTTCTTTTTTCATATATATATAACCGTTGTTGAACAACCGACACAATTTTTGGGGTTTACTATTACTAATGCTCAACTTCGTAGCCTTGCCATTTTAAATCCTATCCAGAGGACAAAGGAACTCTTGGATCAAGTATTGGGAGAAATTTGACCTCGTGAAGGACTTTTTGATGAAGCTAACCCACATTTGCGTTACATGGAGAGGAAATCCACGTAAACCTATCACGGTTACTCTGATGACAAGGGGACTCTGACCCATGATCCGTCTACCACTATGGGCGTTTTACGTCAACACTGTGGTTGGAGCGAGCCGTGTGCGGAATTAGCATAGACCAGCCGTCGCTGGGATTCGAACCCGGTGTACCTCATTGAGCGAAGAATGCTCTGAGCCATCATGGCTCATACAGTTGTAGAAAAACTTTTTCATGAAATTTAATTATAAATAATATTTTTTCATGAACAATTACTATTTACATCCACGCCACTACTTACATAATTAGAACTGCATTCATTTAATGTAAAAAAATGGAAATATGATAATTACCTTTTATAAAAACTACGTTAAGTAATAATTCATAATTTACAAGAGGAAGAAACGAAAATCTGATCGAATCACCAGTGGAAAAAGTAGGAAGCGAAAACCATTAAAACCGCTTTAATTCCCTGATGAAATTCGATTTCTTACATCGACTTTCAACTCCTCTCTGTTTCACACGGCAATAAAGTAGGTTTTTATACTTTCTATTTAATGCAAGATTATGAAACAACAAGCAGACAAGTCCAGACAAGCAGACAACACAAGTCCTTCCACTCTATACTGCTTCCCCATAGGATTGTACTGTTCCATATCTCTTTGATGGAGAAGAAAAGTGTATGTATATTCGATTTTAGAAATTGAAAATGAAATATTATCTTTCATATAACAAAATGTATTTAAGAGCATTTCAACCTCACGCTTAGTATTAATATTTTACGCATTATTGTATTCATTCTTTTTTCTTTAGTAGTTGGTATAATTTATATCCGTAGGTGGCAATGAATTTCACAAAATTTAAGTAAGAAAACCTGTCAGTTAACGAAATACTGGGTAATGGCCCTTTATATATATATTTTTTTTTTAAAAAAAGAGCGCAAGAAATACAAGGTGAGTAGACTCCTATCAAATGGCATGTTACCTTAAAAATCATCATTGTAGGGAAAACCGGTCAAGAACATACCGGGAAACTGTCCTTAAAGAACATCAGTGTCAAGAATATAGGGTAAGAACACGCATATTAGGCACTTAATTTAAAAAAAATATCAGTCGTGGGAATACGGGGGATTTCTTTTTTGTTCGATGAGTGATTTCTAGTCAATGTAAATAGGTAGAGACAGGTTTATGTAAATAGGTTTTTTTTCTTCTTTTTTTTAAAAAAAAAAACCAACCCGGGTAGGTTATATTGGACTTTTTACGATATTACCTTGTTTAACACTTTCGAGATGTAATTTTTAATTTAAAACAGGGCAATTTCAATTTTAAAAAAACTTATATAATTAGGTTATGTGTTAAAATAAAAAAAATTAATTTTAATGTAGTGCCATCTTTTCATGCTATATATAATAAAAAGACTCTTGAATTAATTCTTTCCTTGTGTAAAAATAAAATCATAACATCGGGATCAGAGAAATACGCTGTTTTCTGTTTTATTTATTTATTATTAAACATTCATAACTTCATTTTTTAGTTATAAAGTAAGGCTTTTGCAGGTCAACTAATTACAGAACTACTATTTATTTAACAATTTTCTTAGTAGTTTTAGGAATTACTCTTTCGGCTGTATATTTATAGTTAGTTTTGATTGGAAAATTCTAGAATCAATATATTGCAGATAAATATGAAATCCCTTAAATTTATTTCTCTTTTATCTAATTCTTTATTAATCTATTTTGATTAGGTTTACAAAAAAGCCCATTTGAGCCCGGGTTTTATTGGGTGGTTTTTTAAGAGAACCCACACGGGTTTCTTCGGGTTTGTGGGTGGATCAAAAACCCTGGGTAGAGATTTCCCGCACACACTAAACAATCCTAGAAGTTACGACTTCATCGAATACGCTACTAAACCACGGTTTATGCATGTCAAAAAAATCAAGAATGAAAAGAAAAACGATAGAAAGCAAATTTTTTATCTTTCAAAGCACTCATTATATTTTTTTATTACTAAATAACATCCGAATCGTCATCTTCATCCGCGTCACCCCAGTCTTCATCAGAAGAACAGTTCTCTGGACAGAATTCTTTTCGCTTCATTAATTCGTGCATATTGTCCAACAACCAGGCCTTGTAAGCGCAAACCTGGGAAATGGAACAGGGCAAATTCCTTTGATGAAATCCGCATGAATCACGAACGTGATACTTCACAAGTTCCGTGTATTTGGGACATCCGAAATCTTCGATGTTCTTGAATGGAATCTTCAGTCGTTCCAGAATGTCTCGCTTGGTCTTACCACCCCCTTTATAAGCAACGACACACTTGTCTTGACTTTTGCATTTTTCGTACACTTCCGTGACCTTTGCATCCAGAAGATCTAAACTAATTGTATTTTCTCCTCTGGCCGGACAGAAGGAAAGTCCGTGAAGTTTGTTTTCGGTGAATCGAATGGTGGAGCTCTCTTTTGGAGTCAAACCTGTTGAAAAGGGGCGCAAATTAAATCGATTCACGCCAATTTTACCAGTATCTATATTTATCCATCCGAATTCACGCACCAGGAACTTGTTGTCGAAGTTAAAGCCTTCAAAATTGACTATACAGCATATCTTGTCCATTATGTATCAATAACTGAAGGAAAAAATATAATAAATTGAATTAAATAAATTTAAGGCACTAAAATAATTACTTTACAGTTAAAAGAATCCAAATTTGTTACGCTATGAAGAAAATATATTAGGAGGACCGGAAAGTAAAGTCGTTACGGTGCATTAAACATTCGTTAGTTTCAAAAACCAATTTATTTTTTTTTTATTTAAGATCCATTTTCAATCCGGCATTGAAAGGTTGTTGCTAACGAGGGTGAATACATTGCTGATAAGAAATAAAATCTTGATAACAAATATCAAATGAACTGAAAGAAACGACATTACTTTCCGGTCCCCCTAATACAAAATTGGATTAAAATTCACGGTAATCACTCGTTTCGCTGAGTTTTAAAAACCTACTACCGCAGTCCCTACAGTAGGAACCCTTGCAACTTACCACAACACTTGCAATACCCATAACCTTTATTCGTTAAGCATTACTGGAATCAAAAATCGTTTTACAATTTTCGGTCGGCCAAGCACAAATCCCGTATATATATATTCCTATATTGGTTGGTTCTAATGCCACTTGCCACACCGGCAAACCTGCTTGGTGAAACCGAGCAACTTTAAGGCAGAGCGAGCGTTTCTTGTTTTTAAGTGGCGCCATCTATGACCAAAAATGCGACATCTGCTACACCATACGTCGCACCCGCTTATAGGGCAGACCCATCATACACCCACAGATCATAATTTTGACCTGAATCAGAGAACGATCGATCTCCAATCCAGTACCCCCAGAGGTTTTGATTTGTTATAGGAATACGGACTTTTGCGACTCGACAGATTTAACTTGCATCAGTCACTTTACTACACGGGGAGTCTTCGGCCGGTGGGGTTCGAACCCACGAACTATCGGACATGGGCACAGCGCCCTACCGACCAGGCTATCCCGGNCAATAATATCGAATAGGTCCTTGAAAATTATGATTTTAGGTCCTTGAAAGTCATTGAAAAGTCCTTGAATTTTTTTTGAAAGATTGAGTGGGAACCCTGAATGTACATTACACTTTATATTAGGTCTAAAATACTCATAATATTTTTACAATTACTGTTTTATCTTATTTAGGTTGGCCCTCTAGATAGCATTTTTTTGTTTTTGCGGCCCGTTATCAGAAAATAGTTGTATATCCCTGTTCTATTTTATGATGTTGTATAAAGATACATTATGTTGCATTTAGCAATTGAAACTAGAAATGAAAAGCAATCCTTGTACCAAAAATAGTTTAAATTTTTTTTTTTGTGTGTGTGCTGTAAAATGTCCTAAAGACCAAAATAAAGTAGACAACTTCCAAAGTGTGAAATCTTACAATAATAGTTCAGAAATTTGAGTAAAGATTGCGCTGGTTGATTATGCAATGCACGATGATCTGGAGAGCATCCTAACTGCCATCAGCAATAATGGTCTCTGCATTCTGCTCATGTCAGATAAAATAAATAATAATAACAATAAAAATAAGGAATAATTTTCTGATAAAAATAACAATAATATGAAGAGGATGGCTCGGGGAATAGAGCGTTTGCCTTCCAATGAGGTGAGCCGTATCGAAACCCAGCCATGACTGGTCGATACGAATTCCGCATCCGGCTCGCACCCACCACAGTGCTGACGTTAAATATCCTTAGTGGTAGACGAATCATGGGTTAGAGTACTCTTGCCTTCAGGTTAACAGTCGAAAGTTTTCGTGGATTTCTTCTCCATGTAACAAAAATGCTGTTAGTTCCATCAAAAAGTCCTCCACGAAGGCAAATTTCTCCCAATACTTTATCCATGAGTTCCTCAGTCTTCTGGATTAGGTACAAAATTACAAGACCGGGGAGTTTAACATTAGTAGTCGTAAACCCCCCACCCCCAAAAAAAATTGGGTCGGCTGTTCAAGGATTGTTATAAAATAAAACATATGATAGAAGTAAACCCTTATGTTCTTTCGAAGCGAACGATTCCTACTAAACTATCTTGATAAATCTCATCCATTTCACGAAATGTCAAGTCACATTCATTTCACATGGTTGATTTTCATGCAATTATAAATGAACCTTTTTTATTCATGCGGTGTAATTTTTTCATGACTGTAAAATTTCTTGCAGTACCATTCAAATCTTACTGAAAACATCTTTCTCTTCTTGTTCAACTTTGCTTATTTATCAGTTTTCTTTCTCTCATCTTCATCGGGGATGACATTTGCTAATTGCCATTTATCCGCAGGTCAGACACTATTTAGACAGCAACAGTAGTTTGACTGAACACCCTCTGGACGGGAAATCTGCTGGATTGAGGCAGATAGGAACCCATGGCTTTAGTCCAGTCAACTTCCGAATTTGTCGTTCTCGATGGTTCTCAAAAGTCGACCATCTCTTTAGATTCGGTTTAAAACAATAGTAAAATCTGACCTGAACATTTTCCTAGACTAGGCCACAGAAGTAATCCAATCTTCGTCTGGTTGCAGCTCTAACCGAGGGATAGTTACAGTTTTCACAGGCCTTACCCTTGCCAAAAGATGATCATCAGTCGTGGTTTGCACTCGAACATAAACAGCCGCAGAATAACCCTGATGAATGGCATCGTAAAACGGGTGTACACTAAATTTCCTATCCACATCTCATGAGAACCATCTTGGAATAGATATTTCTTACGGGAAACCGAGTCCAATGTACCATGGTGAAACTTCCTTATCCCAAGAAAGACTCTTTTTCCATTAATTGCAAAAGTTTGGAAAATAAAAAAAACTGAAGAAACTAACCCGAATGAATCAAAAGCCTCATGGGCGACGGAAAGAATAGTTCACCTGTAATCTTCATAAATTTTAAATTCTCCAGCCAGACAGGAAGAGGGGGATGATCTACTGACCACCGAAGAGTAACTACATAACGATCCTCTTCCTTTAAAGTGACGATACTTAAAGATTGTTCTTAAGTTAGAAATTATTTTTCTTCCATAGAATTTGATCGCAGGGTGAGAAATACCAATCACGTCAATGTCCCGCATCCCGGAAATGCTTGTTTCTTTAGAAGTAATGTCACCAGTATGAATTTTCCAGTAATATCTGCAGCAATTAATACTTTTACGGGACCTGGAGTATTTTCGATATCATAAATAGAAAATTTTAAACCTTTTAGTCTATTCATCCAATGCGCATTCCTTGTACACCTAGAACTTCAAAATTGTAAAGAAATTTAACCTTGCAAGCTTCCTAATCCTTTTTTTTATAACAGTTATGTTTTCTTCGCGAGATTTCTTGCCGCCAAATAAAAAATGAGAAACAACTTCTTCGAAATAGGACTAAATCTCATAATTAAAACCGTTGGCTTCAGAACGTGTGACTTCTGGCTTCCAGAGTCAATTAAAGCTCAAACATTAGCAACTGAATGAGGTTCTTATAATTTTACTACCAAAGTTTGAAGAAGTACTTTTGGTAAGTGGGACAAACTGGAAAAATTCACAGACGATACAGAAGAATCTCCTTCATTAACACCAGCTACATTTTTTTCCACTGCCAGACTCCTTATTTGAATATACTTGTGAGCACATAAGTGTAACGCGTCTTTTGAAGGGCAAAATACTCTGCACAAAAACCTTTCATTGTTCCCTACGGTGACCCTTGATCATCCCTTAAAATAGCAACCTTTCTCTTTGAGAATTACTCAAGTTCATTTTCGGAGGATTAAAATGGCTCACGAATTCATGCTGCTTCGGATATAAGGTTCTGGTAGTTAACATACTGGTATAGCTCGTTCACCAGGAGTAGGCACTTGGCTCCGCCTTCGTCACGTGGTATGCGACGATACTATTTCGCTATTTTTGGGAGAAGGTTGTGAGCAATCCTGATCAATCTTGCTATTTGGCGATCGTTAGGCAAAAATATTTATTTCGCAAACTTTTTAACAATAAATACTTCATAAATTTGATGATATTTTGCACCATTTTTTATGATATTTCTTTCTTTTGAGAGAATACTTTGTCCTTTATGAGTCATTTCGCTGGGAGAACAACAGTTTTTAAATTTAAACTATATTTAATTAGCTAGAGTAACAAAATGTATAATAGTCGATAATAAAGCAAAGTAAGTGACTGAAAAATAATTCACTTTTTGTGTTTGGCGCAAATTAAGGGTTGTCTCAATTTCAACAACGGAGATGTTTCTCTTCTAACTCCCGCGCTGAAATGAACTCTGCGTCCCAGGAGGTGGAGCCAAGTCTCAACTTCTGGTGAACGAACTATAGCTGTCGGCATAGAATCAGGAGCTGAACAGAATTGCTTTTTAGATATGGGTTTGAGTTCAAAACAATACATAACCAGGCTTATTCTTTCCCCAGACTCAACTTACGATTTCAAGAATGAGAAAAGACTTTCCAGACGTTTTTTGGGGTCAATTAAGGCTATAAATTGCGAAGTTTTTGAAAAGGCTACTAAGAAATCGTCTGGTCAGCAAGATTTCACCTGCTTACCCCTCATTTTTCTTTCATCACAGGAAGAATTTCTAATGTTCTAATATGCGACAATCAAATAAAATTGTCTTGAGTCTTTCAGTTAAAGCATTTTTCAAAACTAATAGCGGCAACTCTCTTAAATTTAACTGTAGATTGAATCAAATATTCGTCAGCTCAATCAATGTTTTCATCTGAATCAATCTTTTGTAGCCAATCCTTGACATTTTCATCAAATCGTCTTAACTCTAGTTTTGTAAATCTTCTTTTACTATAATTATTGACACTAAATCATCATAACAGGAATGAACCATTCTTTCACCAACAATCTCCGATATTTCTAGAAAAGTATTGAAACAGTTATCAACAGAAGTTCTAAATTTTGGCATTCAACTCGAGCAGTTTGTCATTCTTATTTAAAATAAAAACGAAATCCTCAATTTTGCTTTTTTTGATTTCATTATCCGAATTCAAAATTTCATCAACACACTTCGTAAAAGCATTTCTTGTTAACCTTCGTCGAGTTTTCGTTATGTTCCAATTCCTCTAAAATCTGGCCTTCAATCATATAGGTCACCGATTTGGAAGAGTCCTCCAGTCCTGGACGCCAAAATTTTAATTTATTATGTAGAGAACACACCGGCGCTATCCTAAATTACACACTCTTAATGCAACTGTGGGCCATTAAACAATACCAACTTGGTTATTTCAATTACATAAATTTTCAGGCGTGTGTGCTCAAAATAGGCTTATAAACCTTCGTCAAGTAGAATACCAACCTTCATCTATCAAAAGATACCTCAAGATTGAATCATGTCGTCGCTTTGAAACTAAACCGTGGTAACACAAAAAAGCAAGTCTCTCAGGAGAGCGATTTCTAACTTTTCAGGAATTTCCTCCGCAGGTTGACTCGCAGCTATGGCGACTATTGCAAAATAGTTTACATTAAAAAAAACTGCTTCTTTACATTTTTCAATGAGCCAGGCCTGATTCTTGTAGCATTTTTAATTTTGTGATAATTTCGAAATAAGTTAAGGAACTTTGAGTTGCAACCCTTTTCTTTAAAACTTTTATTAAAAGTGGAGAGTTATTTCAANTCGTCAAGTAGAATACCAACCTTCATCTATCAAAAGATACCTCAAGATTGAATCATGTCGTCGCTTTGAAACTAAACCGTGGTAACACAAAAAAGCAAGTTTCTCAGGAGAGCGATTTCTAACTTTTCAGGAACTTCCTCCGCAGGTTGACTCGAAGCTATGGCGACTATTGCAAAATAGTTTACATTTAAAAAAAAAACTGCTTCTTTACATTTTTCAATGAGTCAGGCCTGATTCTTGTAGCATTTTTAATTTTGTGATAATTTCGAAATAAGTTAAGGTACTTTGAGTTGCAACACTTTTCTCTAAAACTTTTATTAAAAGTGGAGAGTTATTTCAAAATACAACGATGTTCTTCAAAATATCCACCCGAATATTGCATATTTCATTTCAAATTTTGACATGCAACAGTGTTGGAAAAAAATCGCTCTCCTGAAAAACTTGCTTTTTTGAGTTAACACGGTTTAGTTTCAAAGCGACGATATCTCTTCCAAGGTTTTGTTGCAACTGGCACACTATTCCCTAAAACCAAGATGGCGAATCGCGCCAATGCGATAACGATTTATCTGCTTTCAAACTTAATTTTATGGAACTATGAAAATAACACGTTTGTGATTGTAAAAGGGTGATTTTTTGTACACAAAATGATCCAAATATCTCATTTTTCGATTTTTTTTTGAGTTACTAGGGTTTAGTTTCAAAGCGACGATGTCTTTATATACTAGTGAATTGATGTTTTATACGGTAGTTACGCCACATAACAGCCTTTATATATGTCAGAGGTTATTGTAATTCTAGCTGTCAATTTCACATACTACCGTTTTAGCCGATCTTTTTTAAATTTGCTTTCTAGCCATTGTGATGCTTTAGTCACTTTTACTGTGCTTTATTGTTTTAACTATTATAAATTTTGATATCTTTTAACTCTAACTATAAAGGTCCTTTGACCTATAGTTTTAAATCCGTTCAATTTTTTCATGGGTTAGTATGTGTTGTGTCAGTAATTCATTCTTATATAGTGATCCTTTGACCCTGTTGAGTAACTTTTAGATGGCAATACGCACATTTAGTGAATATGTCAAACTGTTTTATGTTTTCTTATACAATCTTACGCCTGCCATGTGCATGGGCTGTTGCCATGTATTTTATGTATTGTAATGATTTTTAGATTTTAATAAACCCGTATGCCCTAAATTAGGGCAGGTCGGTGTAAAATTTTCATGTCAGATGTAATAGACTTTCATTTTCATAAAAGTAACTTCACTGAACAAAAACACTAAGCATTCCAAATTTTTCTACATTAAAAAAAAAAAAAAAATTATGCAGTTTCAAAAGCACTAACTTTTGCACAACGTAGAATCAACACATGTTAACGGGAAAGAAATATATATACCACCCTTTTTTAAAAATACAAATTTACTTAACTGATACTTTTGGTATTAAGTTATAACCTCGCCAATTTGAGCGATTTCTCACTTGAAAGAAAAAAAGATATAAAACAGACGTTGTTCTATTAACATAAAATTTTGACGAATTGAGTTAGGGTTTCTAAATATCATTTACCAAGTAAGCTTACAAAAAAAGGGTATAAATTTGGAACAATAAAAATTTTAAATAAAAACTATAATCAAATATTCACTAACATTAATGGAAAAAAATAACTGAATCAAAACAAAAAATATTGAAATTACAAATACCTCTTTTTTTTCCAGCCAGTACTGAAATTCAAAGCATTAACTAATAAACAAAATTGACCTTTTTAATGTTCCTGCTGATGAGATCTAAAAATATCTGATATTTTTTGTTTATCTCATGATTATCTGATCCAATAATTTTGATTGGAAAAGACTCTGGGGGTTAGCCTATTAAATATGAACGTTTACCGTACAAATTGATTTACTCCGTAAAAAACGTAGAAAATGCGATGAAATAATGCTTTTTTTAAAATTCTTTTTGTAAAGTCAATTTTTATTTACAAATTGAATCGTTTAGAGGCATTAATCTTTACAATTGGAGAGATTTATTATAAATATAAAAAGCTACGAATGCATCACGTAGTTTATATATAGAAATTTAAAACAGATGTTATTAAAATATAATTTTGACAAATTCAGTTGGAATATCTAAGTATCATTTACTAAATAAGCTAATCGAAACCAGCTAATAGTTTAAAACTAATTAAATACCTAGTTACTTAAATAATTAAATTAATTTACTAATTTCAAACACTAAAATAGCAAATTAGTTTTTAAATGCATTTAACGAAAGTGTTTCTAATAGCGTTACAAATAATCATTAGCTTAGCTAATTAATCTCTACGTTTTTAAGCGTGGAGAAGCGTTTGCGTTTCTGAGATATTTAAATAAGACTTTTTTCATTAGTTGCCAAATACGATTCACTATGAAATTATGGAAAAAAAATATATTTAAAATCTTTTCTCGCGCATGCGCAGTGCAAAAGAATTACTTTAAATACTCACATCTTGCGTAGTTTTAAGCGAACTTCTTAAAATTTTAAAACAAAATTTTTGTATTTAATTTTAAATTGCTCCAAAAACTTGTTTAAATAATTTTACTGAATATTTTTAGAGTTGCAGCAAAATAAAACGAAAGACAAAAAAAAAAAATTTCTTTTTTAGAAAAAAAATATCGATATCTCTGAATATTTAAGCTAGGCTTACGAAATTTTAGCAGTAATTGCAAATAAAAACCAAATTAATTTAAACATGTTACAAGCTTATTGCTTGATTTTCTGGCATGGGGTGTTCAAAAAAGTTGTCTTCTTTCATTATTTATTGCCGGTCCCTCAAACCTCTGAAAGCTTTAAACCTTATTGCTAAGTTTGAAAAATCATATGAACTAAGCAACTCTGAAGTTACAAAATAATCCTTAGAGTATTTCTTGAAAAAAGTTTAAAAATGTGAAAAAGTGAAACTTTTATCATTGTAGGGCATTGTGTGTGTATATAGTATTATACGGATACCCAAGTTATCGCTAGAGAGGCTAAAATATTCCAAACTTATACTTATGTTGGTGTTAATGTGATTTAATGGCTGTTGGACAGATTTTGAATTACTACTTAACTTCTATACATAGAGACAATTGGACATTAATTGTTACATCAATTCTTCATTAGATGGACATTTCTTAAAAATTTCAAGCGTGCAGCAGTTTACATTAAAACTAAAGCGATGGAGACTATTCTAAACTGATGTTTGAGATATTCTAAGCAATAGTTTTCCAGTAATGTCAGAAATAAATAGTTTAACAAATAGTTTTCTAACCCTAAACTCATAAATAAAAGCTATTTTCGTTTTTCTTTTAAAAATAATCAATCGGGAGAAACACAGATATAATTATGAATAAATATTACCTAATGTATGCAATTATTTTTCTGTCTTGCATGAAAAACAAATAAAAACATCGATTACTCACGCATAAATTTCGACTACTGTCAGAACACTATTAGTTATTAAGAACTGATATTGAGCAAATGTTTGTACATGGTTATTTATGTAAAAAAAAATTTTAAAAAATTAACAAATAAAAAGTGAAAGGGTAGAAACTAAAATGAAACTTTTATTTCGATAAGATAGAGTTTATGTTATAAACTATGGCCAATTGGCATAAATTATTATAACAGATGAAAATGCCTTCCATTTTTCTCATTGTTCTTAATTTAGATAGCTTATCTTAAAGAACTGTTAGGAACCTAAACTGAAAAGATAAAACTAAGTTGCTTCGTTAACATTCTCAACATCGCTGAAATGAAACCTTTTTCTAAACAATAAAATAAATTAATTTTAACGTATTTGTTTTAAGGCTCCGTCCTCTCTCTTTTTTTTTAATTAATGTACGTCAATATTTTCCACAAAACATTTTGTTAATATATTAATCATAAATAAATAGACGAATACCTAGGTTTGAAAAATACTCATTTGCATTTGAAAAAAAAAATGAACCTAAGGAATACAGATTGAGATTCAATAAGAAATAATTTTATTTGTTGAAGAGACAAAACCATTCAAATAGTGGACGGTTTTTATAGTTCTCGATTAAGTTTTTTTATTTTTAAAAATTTCACAATAAATGTTAAGATTTATATCTTGTCACATGAAATCTCACACTTTTTTGCTACTTTTGATTGACAACTACTTAAGCGCGAGATTATGAAATAAAATAAAGATCTCATAAGGGAAAAATATATTTTCAACAACAATGAATAAATAGTCAATATTTAAAACAAACAACAAAAAATCACGGAAAATCACTTAAATTTGCAATAACTTTCGAACAAATTGGAATTTCGAAATAAAATTCGCGTTAAGTTCTCAAATAAAAATGGCTCTTTCAGCACACCGAATTTGCATCTGAGCAAGCTACAGATCAACTTAACATGGTATTTTTTTTTACCTACAGGTTTAGAGGTTGAATAATTCGTGAACTATTTGTCGAAACTTAATTTTTTTTTATTCTATTGAACTGCTTGTACATTATTCTACACATCTTTGTAATTTTAATTTCTAAATCGATGCAGTTTTTACACACCAAAACTAAATGTAACGTTTAAGTTAAACACCCAAAACATCGGCGGCCCTTGCAATTTTTTAATACAAATAGATTTTAGCAGAACAGCGCGGTTGACAATTTATTTATTTATTTTTGGCTATGGAACCCTGAATGATCGGCCTTCTCTGCACGAATAACCCTGAAGTTAGAAACGAAGTTAACTTTATTTAATGATATTCTTAAATGAAGACTACTCATTTTTGGAGCCGTGGTGGCTGAGGGGATAGAGCGAGCGTTCGCCTTCCAATGAGGTGAACCGAGTTCGAATCCCAGCGATGGCTGGTCGATACGAATTCCCCACCCACCCCAATGCTGACGTAAAATATCTTCAGTGGTAGATGAATCATGGGTTAGAATCCCCTTCCGTCAGACCAAATGCGGGTTAGTTCCATCAAGAAATCTTCCACGAGGGCAAATTTCTCCTAATACTTGATCCAAGAGTTCCCTTGTCTTCTGTATTAGGTTCAAAACAACAAGGATACGGAGTTAACCCTTTCAGTCCCAGTGATTCCAATTGGAATCATTACATTTAAGATTTTTTATCTGCTTACCTAAAACTCAATTTGATTTGAAATAGGCGGTATTTTAATCTACAAACATTCCTCTAGCGAAATATATTTTTATTTTTCACCTATAAATGGCGGCACTACATGTGTTTGTGATTGAAATGATACTTGTTTCGGTTTTGTTCAAATCCATAAAAGTTATTGAAATAAAATATCTTTTTGAGGCATTTTAAATTAAAGAATATTTTTAAATATTTCATTTTTATTTATTTAAATGTTCATAAATAGTATTTCAACAATTTTTAACAATTTTCATTTTGAAAATTTATTGCTTTTATTTATTGAAAAGTTATGATTCCAAATGGAATCAGTGGGAGTTGAGTACAACTCTATATCATTCTCTAATGCGTTGTTTATTTTGAATTTATATCGTTTTTCTTTGCTCTTTCTTATTACTTTTTCAAGTTTTACTAAGATTTTGGGATAAAAAAGACTTATTTCTTTTTGTCATTATTTTTCCTGATGCCAAAGCAAAAAGCAGAGGCTTTNTTTTCAACACGAACTATTGCGTTAGAGCTTGACATTTGCCAAAAAACAATAGCAAATACTCTCAAACGCATAAATCTAACAGTTAAGTTTAACCGTTGAGTGACTCGCGAATTGACTGCTGAAGACAAGAGCAAGAGAAAAGCGGCCTGTTTGGTTCTGGACAGAATTGTGACCTGTGATGAAAAATGGGTATACTACAACAATACTAGCCGTAGAGGAGGGTGGTCAGCATCCGGGGAATCCGCAAGTTCGGTTGCGAGACGAACGCTAACTAACAAGAAGGTCCTTCTCCGTATCTGGTGGGATTGTCGTGGAATTATCTACAAGGAGTACCTTAAAAGCGGATAGGCTATCAACAGTACAATATACAGCAATATGCTAATCAAAGTTAGCGATGCGATTCGCGAAAAACGAGAAAACGAGCTCAGAAGGAAGGTGATTCTCTTTCATCAAGATAACGCTTGGCCACATGTTAGTGCAATGACCGGCATGACGCTCCACACGTTAGAGTGGGATTTGATGCAACATCCACCATACAGCACAGACATGGCGCCTTCGGATTACTATCTGTTTTCAAATCTGCAGCTGCATCTTGATGGCACAATCTTCCGTTCAAATGACGAGGTCATAAATGAGGTCGATTGCTTTCTCTGCTCGCGCACCCCCCAGTTCTTCGCAGAAGGGAATGAAAAGTTGCCAAAACGTTGGCAGACTATTGTTGATTTGAATGGAGATAACTATTCTCATTAGCTTTGCTGATTTTGTGTGTGTTTGTCATTTTTCAGGATTTTTTTTTCTGGCGGAAAACTTTTTACTCAACCCGATATTAAATAATGGACTGTTGATTGAATATAAATATAGGTTTCAAAAGTATTGCTGGTTAAAAAAAAAAATGTTTAACTCTCGGAACCTTTTAAATCCTTCCACGGAACACCATTTGGGAACTGAGGAACTCCGATTCACCCCCGCCCAGCTACTAAAGCATTTTTTTTTCTTACCCTTGCAATTGAACAGAAATATTATTTAATTATTCCGAAATTTTTTATTGTATTAACACATATTTAGTTCCCGATTCGATTGAGAAAAATCTATAAACCGAATCATATTATCGGTTACCACAGCAACTTGTTGCTAAAATACTTACTTAATTCATTGTAATTATTTAAAGTTGTTAAATGTTTAGAGCCAAGGAGATTGTTTAGCAACAGGTTAATAAATCCTAGAATTTCTTTGCAATCTTAAAATTGTATGTGTGTTAAACGGGATAAAGTTTTGAATTAAATGTAAAAATAAAAAGTAGAATAATAAATTATGCTTATTTACTACTTTCAAACGGTTAACTAAATATACTTAACAAGTGTGAATGACCGAAATGAGTTCATTATTACATAGTCGCTTCGGTAAATGTCTCAAATATATAGTACTAGGTCAAGTTAAGAGCCCGGTATGCTCTATATCAGGGGTTTCCAACTTACATGAGGCCGGGGGCCACAATTAAAAACACAAATCAAATGGCGGGCCGCAACTTTATCAAAATTATTTGTAGGCATCTTTTATATTTGAAGGAACATTAAATATTACTGTCAGAGTTTTACCAAGTTGTACAAAACAAAAGTATTGAATTACAAATAAAAATAAGAAGTAGATTTTTAAAAATATTTAATTGTTAATAATAATATTTTTAAAAATATTAAATAAATAATAAAAATTCGGGCTACAATAACTTTAATGTGCACCTATGTAAATTATTTTAGATTTCTGTTAGCCATCTTTCTTCTTTTAAACATATTTCTCATAAAATACGAATTAATTACTTCCCTTTTTTTATATACTCAAACGTTTTCAGATTTTTTTCCGTTTTCCATTCACAGTATTCTTGTTTTGTTTTTAATTAATTTCTCTCACTTAATTTTTTTTTCTTCTTATTTCTGTCAGTAAAATGTACTTTATTGTATTTATTATTAGTTCAATCATATCTCATATATTCTTGTTCATTTTAGAACCAAAAGATTGAGGAAGCCTTCTAACTATCTAATTATAAATTTAGCTGTGAGTGATATTGTAATGATACACAAGATGATAATTTTCATTTATAATAGTTTTAAAGGAGGACCTGCTGCTGGATCAGCATGTAAGTATACTCAATATAAATCATTACATAGCCAAAAATATTTTTCTGTGTCTTGGCTACTTTTATTTTGATAATATTATTCATGATTTTTCTAGCCTTATTCTGAATTTTTATTGTAAAATTATTATTTTATGAACATGCTGCACATTTAGAAGAAGTGCAATTCTTTAAAATTTCAAGCTGTGGAAATCATTCATATGAGTTATTAAAAAATGCTCAATCGATCAATCAATTGCTCGAGATTGCTTTAAACAAGGATGTCCAAGTGATTGCAGTACAGGAGATGAAATAAAAGGAAGCTGAAAGTAATAGGAAGCAAGTACAGCGCTTGATCGTACGTCTAAAAGGCCTGATTTCTTAGGACAGGACGCCGTCAGCTGGAAATCAGCGCTAACCTCTGATTGGTCCATTTGTGAGTTTGATAGTATACGTCATCGAACGCTCATCTTGAACTACAATTGCCGTCCAACTCAACTGCAGTTGGATTACAACGTGACGTTAACCACAGAAGCAATGGCGGACAACATCCAACAGCACATTGAAATCAGCCA